CCCCAAAACCCCAAAACCCCAAAACCCCAAAACCCCTTTTTAAGTTATCTAAATTGGATTTATTCGTACCAGCATTTTATCAAATCTTATAAATCGTCGAGAAGAGATAGTTTAGCTTTTATGGCATCTATCAACATTCCATTCAAATTCTTGCTCTGATCGAGGGATATACTTCCAGGGTTTTTGGTTCTATAAGGCTCATCAGAAAGAGTCTACCTGAGATATTGCTCTTGCATATCCTCATCTACAGTAATTTGCTGTGCTTTTTCGTAGATAGATTCAAACTTATCCATTCCTTCCTTGCCTTTAGCATGAGAATCCCATTTATAAGGAGTGTACTCTTTATAGTCCCTTTCAGCAATTGGGCCCTTCAACTTTCGCTTATTTTCAAGATAATTTAACTGTATGGGTTCTCTTCTGGCCTTGGACTCTGGCAACATTGGATTTGGCTTAAATCTTCTCTTCTTATACTTAGTGTGTATTGCTGATACGGAAGATGACCGTTTTTCAAACTATTTCTTAGACTTCAAATTACCCTTTTGTCATCTTTAAAATTATCTGATATCAAAGGAGATTGTCTTGAGTGAGAAGAGTATTCTAGAAAAAATATATCAAAACTTACCATTGTGAGCCTTTGACCTTGGCTTGTTTGATCTATTAATCCTATTTTCAATTTCCTTTCGCTTATTCTCAGACACTTTTGGTTTGAATAACTCACGGATATTTTTCTCATAATTTTTGATCCTATTCTTCCTGATCTGGGCTAAATCATCTCTGTCCTTGAGTTTCTCTTTGAAACGTATATTATCATGGAGAACATTTTCGAGATATTTTGACTTATAGAGACGGCTCTTAAGGATAATGTTTTAAAATACCTGGGCTCTCCGATTTTCAAGGATCTTAACCCTCATCGCATGTTTTCTATCAAGTATTTTCTTCTGTAAGAGTGCATCTCTCATATACTGATAATTCTCTGCGTGTCTATCCAAACTTTGAATGTCAACAGACTAGAATTATTTCTAAAATTACAGCTTTAGGATAGATAGTTTGACTGCTTAAGCTGTGTGACTGGTTATACTCCTCTTCAAGCCTCTGGTATATCGGAATAGTCTTCATAATTTTCTTGAATCTCTGGTTCCCTGTTTTACTACCAAGATGATCATTTATCTTACAGTAATTCTTTATTCATCTTCACTCGTGATTCTCTTTGGTTTGCAATTTTAGCTAGGTATTCCTTCCGCTCTTTGATCTAAAACTAAGATTCTTTGGCTACCTTCTGCTCTAGGAGGAGAGCTTTATTTTCTTTTTCCTGCTCAAGCATTTGTTGGAGCTTCTTGTGTTCATACTGTCTGATCTTCCTGACCACTAGAGTTTGGTTAACATTTAATTCGCACTTTTATTTCTGACTTTATTTCTCTTTAATTATATCTTGGAAAACCTTAGCTGCTTCTACTTTAGAGGACACCTTTGAACTGCCATCTACACGTTGAGTTGGGATTTACCAGTGCTCTGTTGAGATAGGCTCCTAGTGTAAGCAATCATGTTTCTGGTGTCTTTTAAGTCGAAAGTCTCTGTGTAGCATTGTTCTGGACTTTCTTTCATAAATCTTGTCTTATCCAAGTCTATCTTTTAGCATGGATAACTTACGTAATGGTTGATGGAGATTTTGTCTGAGTGGACTTATTCGTTCTTCTTTGATTTTCTTCATAACTCGGCTAAATTCTTGTTCGTCGTGAGAAGGAATTGTTATCAATCCATTGCTTATTCGAGATGTTATGGATTCGGCTATTTCACTCTGGTGCTCGTGAGAGAACTATAGTGTTATCAAATTGGTTACATATCCTTTCGAGGTATACTCTTTTCATATTGATTTCATTTTGTCAATAAATCCTTCTTTAGTCGTGATCTAGAAGATAATAAGTAAGCACTACTTTCTCAAGCTGGGCTCTTGGAGCAGGTTTTATTTTAGGGATTATAAAATCAGATTCAAAATTTTCCTTAAGCTTTGCAGCTGGCTTGCTTGCTAAAAGTTGCTCATCAAAACATACATTTTTCTTCTTTGTTTTCTTTTGAGTTTAATGGTGGGTCTTTCTTCGGCTCCTTTTTAGGTGATTTTTCTAGAATGTGGTGATTCTTAGGTACTTTCATAGACTTCTTTATTATCAGTCTTCTTATCAACTGACTGTCTATCAGAGACTTTAGTCTCCTAGATAATGTTAAATATTTGAAAATAATAGCAAAACATAATAAGATTATCTATAAAGCATACCTCATCTGCTCTGCTTTTGAAATCTTTGTCTTTGTCTTTCTTTTCTTTTTTATCCTTCTTATCTTTCTTTTCTTTCTTACTTTTCTTATCTATTAAATTTAACTTCAAATATCTCAAATTTAAGTATTCCAAAAGTCTCATAGTACAGAATCCTGCTCTACACTCTATGGTACCTTTATCTTCCTTCTTATCTTTCTCCTTTTTCTCTTTTTTGTCCTTTCTGTCTTTCTTTCCCATTTATTATAAAAATAATAAAACGGGGTTTTGGGGTTTTGGGGTTTTGGGGTTTTGGGGTTTTGGGG